GGGAGGCATCAGGCTACGAGGGGCTGCACACTCCGTGCTCAGCTTTTTTGGCCTGGAGCTAGCACAACAGCCTGTGCATGTGGGTATAGATGGAGCGCCCGTCTGGAGCATCCAGCCCCCTAAACCTGTCACACAGGAACTTGTTGCTCCTTCTAACAAGATTCCTGAACAGGCCTCCTTTACTCCCAACTCCATGGTGGAACACCTTTCCACGACAAGCCACCATTAAGGAGGATGGGGTCCTGGAAACACATAGCAGTGCCCACAAGCACTGTGGTAATGCCCACACTCTCGAGTAGCATCCACTCCTGGTCAAGCACAGCGAGGCGGAGGACAGTGCCTCCTACATGAGAACCTGCCAGGGAGAGGAAGAGGAGGGGACCCCAGTAGCACTCTGGAAAGCAGCATCTGCCACTCACGCACACTTCCCCCAACACCCTCCCCACTCTCTTCTAGTGGGCAGGGACAGAAGTTCTCTCTCTGTGGGACACTGCCACTGCCGGACCCAGTCTGTGCAGGACATGAAAGGAGGCTGAGCCACCCCATTCCCCAATCCTGCCTGCAAGCTCCTCACTTGGTCGGCACCTTCCCATGCCTGCTGGTCCCCTGGGACATCTGTACCCCTGTAGGACAGTTCCCACTGTCTAGGCAGCAAATGGCCTTTCTCAAAGCACATCACCATTGTCTGAACTAAGACCTTTGATGCTGGCTCAGAGATTAGGGCTAGGCTTCGTGCACACTGTCTCCTGGGATGACTGCTCTTCTCACTTTTCTTCACAGCTGGCCAAGCTACAAGTGGGGAATATGCAATATCTCCCATGCCATCCTCCCAACCCCATGAGACCTGCAGGCACTAGTGACCATGCAACGACCTGGTGCTAGAACATCTTGGGTATGTCTACACTACCACCCTAGTTCGAACTAGGGTGGTAGTGTAGACATACCCCTTGAGTGCCTCTATTCCTTGAACAGGAACTTTGAGGAGGACCGCCAGGAACGTCGGGCTGACTGGGAGCTGAGGCAGATGATCTGGGAGCAGCTGTGCTGCCAGCATGAGGCTATGTGCTTCTCAATCACCACCACCATGGCAAGCCTGATTGTGGCTATCAATCGGTCCACCAGACACATCCCCTCACCTGCCATTCCCTAACCCCCAGCACCAGCACCTGCTCTCCTCCAAGTCCCTCCAGCACCTGCACCTGCCCCTCCAGTTCTCCTCCTAGCCCCACTCTCCTGAGGCCGCCAAGGGATGCACACGAGGCAGTGGGAACTCTCAGGCAGCCGAGTCGTCCCAACATACCTGAGGCAGTCACCAGTCACAGCCCCATCCCTGAGCCCCTTTTCCTCTCTCCTAGGTTCTTTCACCAGTCCCTCCCCATTTATATATTCCCCAAATAAAAATGACTGAGTTTATTGTTTCAAAACAAAAAGCCTGGTTTATTGTATCTGCGGGTGATGGGGGGAAGGTGGGAAGAGACGGCAGGGGAAGGAAGAGGTGTGCGAGGAAAGGCACATCCAGGCAATGCAGAGTCCCCTTGTGGGGCGATCTGGGAGAGTCTCATGGCTGGCCTTGGCTGAAACTCTCCCTCAGAGCCTCCTGGATATGCACAGGCCCTTTATGGGCTTGCCAGATGGAAGAGGTGCCCGACTGCTCAAAAGCCCTGGTCAGCCGCTCAGCCCCTGTGCCCCCACCCTGACAGGAAAGGTTCTCCTTTATTTTTGCAAAGGTTGTGGAACACACAGCAGGCCACCTCCACGTGGGAGATGTTCTGGTCGCCGAGGTCCAGGCAGGTGAGGAGGCTCCGGAACCTCTCCTTCAAGTGGCTGAAGACACCCGCCACAACGATGCGGCACCTGCTGAGCCTGGTGTTGAAGGGCTTCTTCATGGGTTCCAGGTGTCCTGTGTAGGACTTCATAAGCCAGTGGAGCAAGGAGTAGGCTGGATTGCCCACGATGCACATGGGCATGTTCATGTCCCCGACCCTGATAGTGTGGTAGTGGAAAAATGTGTCGGCATACATCCTCTGGAAGAAGTTGGAGTTCCTGAACACGTGGGTATTGTGCACCTTCCCCAACCACCAACGTACACATCTGTGAACTGGCCTTAAAGGTCCATGAGGGCCTGCAACACCATGGAAAAGTACTTCTCCCTATTGATGAAGTCTGAAGCATGGTGGTCAAGCGCCAGGATGGGGATGTGGGTGCCACCAATGGCTCCTGTGCAGTTAGGGAAGCCCATGGTGGCAAAGCCAGTGATGATGGGCTCCATGTCATCCAGGGTGATGACCCTGAGCAGCAGGATGGCGTTGATCACCTTGAATTACAGGGTTGCCAGAGCCCTTGGGAATTCCCTGAGTCCAAGCCCCTTCCCACACCAGGAGCAATCCCAAGTATCCCATCCCCAGCAGGGTTTTGTGAAGCCAGGAGTGAAAAATCTCTAGGGATGAAGATTCCACCCCCTTCACTAGGGAACCCCATTGTAGTGCTTGACCACCCTCATAAAACAAAAGTAAAAAAGAGTCAAACCTGCATAAGCATGGCCCCAAAGGTTGATTTCCCCATGCCAAACTGGTACCCCACAGAGCGGTAGCTGTCTGGCATGATGAGCTTCCAAAGTGCAATGGCAACACTCTTCTGGAAGGGAATGGAGGGTCTCATCTGGGTGTCCCATCGCTGGAGAGCAAGGGAGAGCCATCTGCAGATCTCCAGGAAGGTGTTCTTCCACATCCAGAAGTTCTGGAGCCATTGCTGTTTATCCCATTGCTCCATGACAGTCAGAAATGGTCTCCCAGCACCAGAAGCAGCAGTGCATGGTGTGCAGGGGAGGATGGATGGGTATGTGGTGCATGAGGAGAATGTAGCCTGGGTGAGGAGGTCCCCTATTCCAGGCTGCTTATCGTCCTCCTGCAGCACCATGTGGGAAGCCTGCATAACTGTACCAGGAGTTACAGCAGGAGGTCTAAGAGCCTGACATTGCTTTGCAGCCGGTCCGGCTCCATGGTGGATGTTCTGTGGTGTCCGCAAGAGCAACCAGAGCACATGGTGTGAGTTTGCTGTCTCTCAAAAATGGAGAAGAGTCTGAGGTGCGGCTGTAGAGGGGAGCCCCTTGAAGCACGAGCCTCAGATAGCCTCAGGAAGCAGCTATAGGAAGTGACTGCTGTTCTGATGCCCTGCCCGGAGTGCTTCCCGGGGGGGTTTAATGTGATTCAGGCTCCGATCAGTGTGGATGTGCTATTTTGTTATAATTCTGTGCAATTTCGATAGAGATCTGTAATGTGGATGTGCTATTTTGAGTTATTTCAGAGTTGCTGTTTTGAAATAGCTTATTTCGAAATAAGCGCATAGTGTAGACATAGCCTTAGTGTTTGTACTTGGGGTCTGTATTTCATATTGGCCACTCATTCCCTTAAAGACAACTGCAAACTTTGCCAAGGCATATAAAAAGGAAATTCTTTTGAAAACGTATCGATGCATGGAACAATCTAATTTAGATAGGTACACATTAGTTTTCATTTTTTTCCACAAAGTAATCCTACTATTGCTCTAGCATGACGTCTAAAGGTAATATAACCTGTTGATTATGAGGATCACGGGAAGTTTGCGCTTAGTATTTTACTAGCAAGATAATTAAAATGGGAAGCATGCTTGAAAAATACATAATTCCTTAAGGTATAATATTAGCTTAATAAAGAAATTATCATCTCTGGATTATATGCAGGAAATAAATAATAAATAAATGTATCACACATCTGGATATCTCCAGCAACTGGGCAAATCAGTGAGGAAAAGAAATGCCCAGTATGGACTCCCCAGCCTGTTGATTCCATTCAAAGTAAAAAAAGACAGCTCTGCACTACAGCTATCTGCAATGACCTTTTCATGCTATTGTCTTTCCTTCCTTATCATCCCAATCCACACTATTTATTATAGTATTTGTTTAATTTAGACTGGAAGATCACCCATAATAGGAATTTGTCATCTTGTATGTCTGTAAAGTGCTGTATACACCTATAATATAATAAAATAAATAATAAAAATGAATTAACACAATGCCACATCACTTAAAAGCCTGACCTTCTGCAATGAATATAGGACTGAAAAGTAATACAAGTAAAAAGTGGAGGAAAGCAAATGGGAAAGAGAAAGCTTCCAAAAATATCCCCATTATTCCCTCCAAAATGGGGCAACTTCCACCAGAAATCCCAGTGCAGGTTTATGCTCCTTAAGGTTGAACTAAAACACATATGCACTTCAGTTTACACAGTTGAAATATTTCAGTTGATCACAGTTACTTACACACATTGAGCACCTGTGACCAAAAGTCTGTTCATATGATCTCTGAAATATCCAAAAGCTGGAAAGGTAAGCTCCATATGCATGTGTATCTAGGACAGCACTTCAGTTATCTATATATTTTAGAGATGTTTGTTTGTCTGTCTGTTCATCTGTGAGTCTCTTTGTTCAAGAATGCCTCTTAAAAGGTAAGAACTAGGACCCCGAAATTTAGTGTACAACTTCCTCTTATCATAACTTAAAGCAAAGTCTGGGTTTGGTGAAATTTAGTGTACATTTAGTATAACTTCCTCTTATCATAACTTAAAGCAAAGTCTGGGTTTGGTTGTGTCAATAAATCAGGAAGTGCTGGGAATGGGACTGTTTTCCATAACATGGAAAGTGGGGGACACAGAGAGGAAGGATGTGATAATGACAGTGGCCACTGGGCGCAGTGAATGCAGGGGAGAGACCACTGGGGGCAGCCACACCACCAAGAAAGTGGCCAGCAGAACTGGGACTCCACCAGCTGGGGTGGGGGGGGAGAGAAAGTCCTGCCAGATGGGACCACCTGCCCTGAGCCCCTCTTCACCCCCCAATTCTCACTCTCACACTCCCTTTTGCCCCCACCTTCCTACCCTGCTCCCCTCTCCCACAACCCAAATGCCACACCCTAACTCCTGCACTCCCAGGCAACATCAGGTAAGTCTTCTAGTAAAGTATAATGTTAACAACTAGATTTTTAACAAGTAAAGTACTGATTTTGTCCTTACCTAGATTGGTTCTTGCTTGAAGGTGACATTACAGGAGAGGAAACTGGTCTGATTGGTGCAGAAGCCCCGGCTGCTAAGGTAGGGGATCCAGATGTAGTCAGAGAATGAGCTCTTCTAGATGGTAGAGTGTTAGAGAGAGAGGGGCTAATCACTATATTCTGATCTATGAAAGAAAACAACATTTTTTCATCACTAGTATAATTTCTACAGAACACCCACATAGTATCACTAAATTAAACTGAGTAACCCCACACCAAAAGTTTCTAAATTTATTTTGTACCACTCAAAACATATACTTAACAATATTTTTTGAATTTTAGGACTTGTTAAGTAAAAAAAAAAAAATGATTATTGAAAATTCATTGAAAAAGCAATCATAGAAAAAAGCTCCCTACCTTTTGTAACTGTTGTTCTTTGAATTATGTTTCCATTCTAGAAATGTGTGCATATATGTGTGAACAATAAAGATAGTTCCTTTAACAGTGTCCATAGGGTGGAGCATGTGCCAGCCCCACAACCTCTCCATTCTTTCTTGTCAGCAATTCCAACAGAGGGAGAGGAGAGCAGGTAATAGAATGGACAAGAGCAACCCATCTCAAAGAACAACAGCTATGAAAAGTATGTAACCATTTTTAATTCAAGTGCTTGCTCATGACAATTCTATTCTACACGATGCACAAGCTCAGGGATGGACAATAATTTTTGATGGGGTCCACTCTAAGAATTTGGAAAGTGGTCAAGGGCTGCACCCTTCCATATTAATGGAAGAAGTGTGGGGTCTGGAATGGAGGTTGGATGCAAGGGAGCTTGCAGTAAGGGACTGGGGTGCAGGAGAAGGATTGGGGTGCAGGAAAAGGTGTGGGGTATTGAGTGAAGGAAGCAGTTGTGACATGGATTAGGGGACTAAGGTGCAGGGGTTTGTGTTGTTACCTTGAGCAAGAGGGGGTTGTGACTTAGGGCAGGGGCCTGGGATGTAGGAGCTGGGAGGAGATCTGGGTACAGGAGGGAGCAGAGGGTTTAGTTGTGACCTGGAGCAGGGGATTGGGGTGCCGGATTTTGGATGGAACATGGGGGCAGGAGGAAGGCAGAGGGTTTGGGTTATGAAGGGTAGGGGGGCAAAGGGTTGGGGTGCCAGAGGCAGGCTCTGGCTAGGAGACTTACCTGCTTGACTCTCAGCCAGCAGCCTTCCCAAGAACACTCCCTTCCTGCCCCACCCGTGCACTAGCTGCAGAGGCCATGTGGTTTTTGAACAGCTACAAGCCTGAGGGGAGAGGAGGAGTTTCTTTGCAAGATGACTGTTGACAACAGGTAGATCCCTTTGGCGTAAACCGGCCAATGGGATTGTGCTGAGGGCAGGAGCACTGTGCAAACCCTTTCCTCCCTCCCCTGGAGCTCACAGCTGTTCAAACAGCTCCACAATGGTTGCATTTCTTAGCAGTGTTGGGGAAGGAGAGGGGGGAGAGGGAGTCTAAAGGCCAGATCTAGCATCTTGGTAGGCTGAATCCAGCTCATGGAGGGTATTTTGCCCAGGTCTGCACAAGCTGTATCCATGGAGGTGGGCTCAAAATTCTTAGTTGTGCAGCTTGCAACACTGCTATACCACAACATTGTCTTGGGCTTGCACCAAGGTAAGTGCATAATGAGTCATAAATATGTGGATAGATGACCCCGGGAATAGTGGCCCTGTAGACCAGGAAGACCAAGGATGAAGCTTGCACCCAGGTTGAGTTGCTAGTCATAGACACCAGTGTAGGCACTTTCGCCAGCCCACAGCAATAACAGATGCAGACCATGATCCAGAATGAAATCCTTTGTGCAGACCCTGGGAAACCATTAATTTTGTCTACCACTGCAACAACTGCATTTATTTGCAAAACACCATAGCCCTGTCTATAGAAAATGTCCAGGGTGTGCAACTTGCACTCTGCTTCTGATTTATGAGGCTTTGGAAAGCAGACAGGTAAGTATATGTCCTGTGGATCTGGAAACCACTGAAGCTTGCCACGACTGCACAAGAGTCAGGTCCCAGGCAGGGAATGGATCCCAGATGTGCAGGTAGAGGTGTTCCAGGCCATATAAGAACTGGACTGTCATGCCATGAGCAAAGACCAACCAGGCTTGGAGTGCAGGATGGAAGGCTGAAATAGAAGCCAAGTGGACTTTAATTGATGATAAGGACAATCCCTGAATCTTGAGATACCAAAGACAGTCCAGGATCGCCTGTGAAGCTCAGATATTGTGGTCCAAAGTCCAGCATGTTAACCATTTCCACTTGACCAGGAAGATCACTCTGGTGAAGGGCTTTCTGCTACCCAACAAGTCCTGTTGGACATGGGCTGAACATTCCCATTCTTTTGCATTCAAACATGCAGTAGTCATGCAATCAGAGCAGCATTGCCACATTCAGGTGCAGAAAACTGCCAGAGTTTTGGTATAGCAAGTCCTGCCAAAGAGGCAGCTGCAGCAGGGTGGCCACCGAAAGGTCCAGTAGCATGTTGAACCAGTGCTGCTGAGGCCACACAGAGGCTATCAGGATCACCTTCACCCTGGTCTGTTTGATCATGAGGACTCTATGGATAAACTACACTGGTGGGTACTCACATAGCAGAGCCTCTGACTATGGGAGAGAAAAGGTGTCTGACAGGGATGTTTGTCCATTCAGTGGATCAAGCAGAACACATATAATTTCCTGTTCTGATGGGACAAGAACAAATCCACCTGGGGAGTCCCCCTTCTCTGAAAGATAATACTGCCTCCAGATGGAGTGATTGCTCATGAAAAGACAAGAAGATCCTGCTAAGGCCATCTGCTAACATGTTCCTGGCCCCAGACAGATACATGGTTACCAGATGGATGACATGCCATACACAGAAGCCCCACAGGCAGAGAGCTTATTGGGAAAGGGCTGACGACCTTGCTCTGCCTCTGTCTGTTGATGTAAAACAACATCTTGCATGTTAAGCTTCTGCATGTGAGCTCCTGGCATTGGAAACTAGGATCAGCAATGGAGTTAGGGCTGCAAACAGAACACTCTCCAACACTGAGGGTATGTCTACATTACCCTCCTAGTTCGAACTAGGAGGGTAATGTAGACATACCCTCAGTGTTGGAGAGTGTTCTGTTTGCAGCCCTAACTCCATTGCTGATCCTAGTTTCCAATGCCAGGAGCTCACATGCAGAAGCTTAACATGCAAGATGTTGTTTTACATCAACAGACAGAGGCAGAGCAAGGTCGTCAGCCCTTTCCCAATAAGCTCTCTGCCTGTGGGGCTTCTGTGTATGGCATGTCATCCATCTGGTAACCATGTATCTGTCTGGGGCCAGGAACATGTTAGCAGATGGCCTTAGCAGGATCTTCTTGTCTTTTCATGAGCAATCACTCCATCTGGAGGCAGTATTATCTTTCAGAGAAGGGGGACTCCCCAGGTGGATTTGTTCTTGTCCCATCAGAACAGGAAATTATATGTGATCTGCTTGATCCACGAAATGGACAAACATCCCTGTCAGACACCTTTTCTCTCCCATAGTCAGAGGCTCTGCTATGTGAGTACCCACCAGTGTAGTTTATCCATAGAGTCCTCATGGGATGTGAACTGACACCTGACTACCCAGTCTAGGTCATGTCTGTTGGAGAATGTCACATAAAAGTCATATGTGGGTCCTGCAGCTTAGCAGGCCTAGGATGAAAGCTTCCATCCCTGCTGTACCCACCTTAGCACAGTGTGGGACGTTGCAAGCCCAAACAGCAGCTGAGGGCTTTAGCAGCGTTAACCCAAGCCTTAAGCTGGGAAACTACTACGCAGTAAATAAGTTTGACGTCGGTCTCAGCCTATAAAAGTAATAAGCATGGCACTGAGCCAGGTATGCGCACACCGGGTAAACAACTATAGTATCATTAGTGTAGAAAGTCCCACCCCTAACTGAGTCTTAACTGGGACCCCAACCTCAAGGGCTGACCGGGATTCCCCCCATACTGAAGCCACATCCACTGCGGTCGGGTGCAAGGTAATCGAAACAGGACTCCCCGCAAACCTGAAGGGACGTGAGCATTCCAAAAAGCCTTTTACTCCTTTAACCATTGTTCTGTAGTGCTTTTGCTTGCTAGAGTGTACTCTGTAAAGTGTAGTAACAGTGAAGTAGTAAGCTTAATAAATTCCTAATCGGCACAGTGTTGAAGCAAATCTACAACCCGGTTGAGCCCTGGCCCTTTAAAATGACAGAGATGTAGACTGACACCAACGATGCTTGCAGTGGTCGGAGATGGAGCAGGGTATGCCAGACCATGTATGTACATGTGTCCTCATGGCCTAACAACTGTGGACAGGTGTAAGCAGTGATCAGTGGGTAGTTTTTTACATGGGAAATCAGTTCCGACATGGTCTGAAAACATGCTTTCAGAATGAAAACTCTGGATCGTGTGCAGCAAAGAACTGCTCCAATTAATTCTATGCACTGGACTGACGTTATGTGACTTTTTTTGTTGTTTATTAACAACCCCAAGTTGCCACAGGTGAAATGTACCAAATCAAGGTTCCTCTTCCACTTGCATCCAAGATCTGCCCTTTATAAGCCAGTCATAGAACAGAATCATAGAACCACAGAGCTGGAAGAGACCTCAGGAGGTCATCGAGTCCAATCTGCTGCCCAAAGCAGGACCAACCCCAATTAAATCACCTCAGCCAGGACTTTGTCAAGCTGGGACATAAAAACCTCTAGGCATGGAGATTCCATCACCTCCCTAGGTAACCCATTCCAGTGCTTCTCCACTCTCCTAGTGAAATAGTTTCTCTTAATATCCAACCTAGACCTCTCCCACTGTAACTTGAGACCATTGCTCCTTGTTCTGCCATCTGTCACTACTGATAACAGCCTCTCTCCATCCTCTTTGGAATCCCTCTTCAGGTAGTTAAAGGCGGCTATCAAATCCCCCCGCACCCTTCTCTTCTGCAGACTACATAAACCCAAATCCCTCAGCATTTTTTCATAAGTCATGTGCTCTAGCCACCTAATCATTTATGATGCTGGACTTTCTCCAATGTGTCCACTGGTGCCACATTTTGTAAACAGCTTTGGAGCAGGAGGGAGATCAAAGGACACTGCCATGAACTGGTAACTGCACCCATCTACTATAAAGTGGAAGAATAGGCTGTGATCTTGGAAGGTGGAGATCATCTCATCTGGGGACGAGGATGATGACTGGATCACTGAGGGTATGTCTACACTACAAAGTTAATTCGAACTAACGGACATTAGTTCGAATTAACTTTGATAGGCGCTACACAAGCGCTCGGCTAGTTCAAACTTAATTCGAACTAGCGGAGCGCTTAGTTCGAACTAGGAAAACCTCATTTTACGAGGATTAAGCCTAGTTCGAATTAGCTAGTTCGAATTAAGGGGTGTGTAGCCCCTTAATTCGAACTAGTGGGAGGCTAGCCCTCCCCAGCTTTCCCTGGTGGCCACTCTGGCCAACACCAGGGAAACTCGTCTGCCCCCCTACCAGCCCCGGACCTCTTAAAGGGGCACAGGCTGGCTACGGTGCCCGTGCCAGGTGCAAGCCTGCCAGCACCCAGCCAGCAGACCCTGCACCTG